GGAGGCGAACCTTTGCGAGGGGGGGGGTGGAGGCGAAGCGCTTGTGCCATTGTGGAGGCCTGGTCCCAGCACGCGACAAAACCCCACACACCAAGAGTGGCCCTTGTATGTTTGCAAGAAAGGTTTGGGGAACATCTTCAAAGCCGAAAGTTTACAAATGAATGGTCACCGGAGTCCCCCGGATTGAACCACATGTATTATTGCATTTTTCAAAATTTATTTGTAAAAAAAAACCAAAAGCGAATAATGCCTTACGGGTTCAACCCACGAGCAATTGAATAGTTCAAGCCCAATGTTGAGCATGATGTCCAAATAAATAACCCAGAAATAATATGCCCAGGGTAGTTTAAAACTTGTATCTAAGTATTTGAGTTTGTGCTGACTAAAGTGGTCAATTCCTGGAATAGACAGTTTAAACAGCCCCCACTTTTCCTGGGCTTTCTTTGCAATATATAAATTATTTATTTCAAATTTGTTAAATAATACACAAATGCAAATTTTTGTTGATTCTTTAGAGGTATCAAAGTTTTGCTTTACACCCAAAATTTTGGTTAAAAATTTAAGAAATCAAACAAATAATCTGAAAAATAATGATATCCCTCATACTGATAAATTTAGTGTCCTTTTCACTGAATTCCAATTGAGACAAGTCATCATCATATGGTGCCTTGCCGATTGGCGTGGGCGATCATGAACCTCCACTTCACTCTGTCTTGCGTTGCAGCAATGGTGTCTGTTGTTCTTGTCGCTCCTAGCCATGTTGTTACCTTGTCCAGTATCTTTTTCTCTCTGTATGCCTCTGCCTCTCTTTCCATCAAACTTGCCTGGTGTTACATTCTCCAATGCTTCTTTCCGCATTGTTTGTCCGAAGAAATTTGCATGTCGCTTTCTTCTATTCCTCATAAGCTGTCTTCTGAAATTTGCTTCAACCAAGACTTCTTCATTTGTCTTTCTAGCTGTCCATGGGATACGTAGCATGCGTCTTATGAACCACAACTCTGTCGCCACAATTGTTCTTTCCAGCTGTTTATTGATTGTCCATGTTTTGCACCCGTATAATAGGATTGGCTCGATGTAACTTTTCAGTACTCTTTTTCTCGTTTCCAGAGACAGATTGATGTTTGTGAATATCTGTTTCATTCTGTGGAAGGTTGATTTTGCTTGACAAATGCGGCTTTTAATTTCGGTGCGACAGCCCCCATCTGATGATATAATGCGACATCTCCCATCTGATGATATAATGGTCCCCAAATATTCAAAATGTTGTACTTGCTTAAGGGTGGTATCATTGATTTTGATATTGCATGTTGGGGTTGGAGATTTTTTGCTTATCACCATTTTTCTGTTTTCTTGATGTTTAGGCTTAAACCCATGTTGTCACTCTCTTGTACGATGACATTTAATAGATTCTGTAGGTGTTCTTCATCTTCTGCTATTAGGACCGTGTCGTCTGCATATCTTAGATTGTTTATATTATGTCCCCCTATCGAGATACCTGGCATTTCTTCTATGTGTCTCATGATATTTTCACTATACAGGGCTGTCCCCCTAGGATCATGCGATAGTTTTTTCGCGTAATTCTGCAACATTTGCATAATTTTGGATTCCCCGCGTTTTTTCACGTTTTAATTCATTTTTCACAAAACAATAATTAACGCCTCACCATGTGACTAAAGGGAAGTAATCAACGTAATAAGTCTCATTTAAGTGAGAAGCTGGTTATTTCCTTGTAAGAAAATCTTGATTAATGGTTTTGGGTTAGGGCTTTTGTTCCTTGAGCATGTTCTATTTTTCAATCCATCAAAAGTTGTTCTCATGTCTGCTGATGTGTCATGTTTGACACGTGTCCCTGGTTTTAGTGATTTTCCAGCATCAGAGGTCCAGTTGTCCCCCCCCTCCCCCCCCCCCCCCCCCCCATTTGTCTATCCTCTATAGTGACTATAGATCTACAGCTGAAAGTTACAGAGATTATATTTTATTGGGGGGGGGGGGGGGGGGGTTCTGACTGATGTGTATAGTTTTCTTTCCAAATACTCAACAAATTGCTGATACTGATTTGTTCTATTTTCAATTTTTCTGTACATAAAACATGAAAATTCTTGTTGAAGAAGTGCAAAACATGTCGCGAATGGTGTTACGGTAACTTGCGCAATTTTTGCATAATTTTGCATATTTCTTGCATAATTTGGCCGTCTAAATTTGCATAATTCTACGGGGACAGACAGGGAGAACAAGTCTGGACAAAGTACACATCTCTGCCTGACTCCTCTTTTAATCTGTATGTATTCGCTGATGTCGTTTTCTAATCCCATTGCAGCAGTTTGACCCCAGTACATGGTTCTTGATAATCCTTTAGTCCTTACTGTCAATATTGAGGACTTCCAGCCTGTCGATGATCTTGTCGTGCCTAACTTTGTCGAATGCCTTGGTATAGTCTATAAAACATAAATGAAGATCTTTCTGAACTTCTAGGGCACGATCTATTGTTCTGATGACATATATGGCATTTACAGTGCCTTTGCCTTCAATAAATCCACATTGTTCTTGGGCTATTTCTGGGAGAATGTTATTTCGTATTCTCATTATAATTATTCTGAGTAGTATTTTTGTTATGTGGCTCATGAGGCTGATGGTATGATTAGTTTCACATTCGTTTGCATTAGGTTTCTTTGGTAGAGCTATGAACATTGATTTTGATAAGTCTGATGGAATATGTCCAGTGCCATACATGTTGTTAAGAAGTTTTGTCAGTGTGGCGGTTCCAAAGTCCTCTAAAGCTTTAATGATCTCTGTGGTAATGTTGTCCGGTCCTGCAGCTTTCCAATTCTTCATCTTTCGTAGTGCCTTGATAACTTCTTCTTTCATGATTGGTGGGCCCTCGTAATTATTTTCCACTCTTCTTTGTTCACCTCTTTTGTCATTGTACAGGTCACCGATATATTCTGTCCAACGTTCCAGCATCTTGTTTTTGTCCATTATGATTTTCCCTTCCTTAGATTTGAGGCATCTTGTTGATCCACGTGTTTTTGAATGACACACCTCTTTAATTTTTCTGTGCAGATCATTTGAGTTCGCATTGGAATGATTTTCCATTTCTTCACATTCTTCTTTTAACCAGGTCTCTTTTGCTAGATTACACTTGTGTCTGATTTCTTTATGAAGATTCACATATTTTTCCTGATTGTTCTTGTTCTTGTTCTTGTTCCTCCATAAGATGAAGAATTTCTTCAGTCATCCATTTCTCCTTTGCTTTTGTTGTCCTTTCTGGTATGACGTCTTTTGCAGCCTCATGTATAAATGTTTTAAGCTGTTCCCATTGTTTCTCTATGTCTTGTATTTCTTCTGAATCGCTGAATTTGTTCTGTACAGTTATTCTGAATTTATTTTGTATTTCTTTGATTCACTGGAGAAATGCCATGTTTAGTTTCATATTCTGGTTCTTGCTCATGTGTGTTCTTTTCAATCTGATTCTAAATTTTCCCACTACGGGTACATGGCCACTGTAACAGTCTGCTCCTGGGCGTGTTTTGACATTTAACATCCCGTTTTTGTATCTTTTCTTGATCATGATATAGTCGATCTGGTTGCGAGCGCTGTCTCCAGGACTCTTCCAGGTCCATACTCTTCTTGGTGGTTGTTCATACCAAGTGTTTCCAATAATCATGTCATTCAGGATGGCCCATTCTATCAGTTTTTCTTCTCTTTCATTTCTGTTTCCCAGTCCATATGGACCCACTATATCTCCATGTCTTGTTGTTCCCACTTTTGCATTAAAATCTCCCATGACTATGACAATATCTTGTGATTTACAATGTGTCTTTGCTTGGCTTATTTCATCATAAAACTTCTCTATTTCTCCTTCTGTGCTTTCTGAGGTTGGCGCATACGCTTGGATGATGGTTGTATCGAATGGTGATCCTTTCTGCCTCACCAGCATAACTCTGTCTTATATTGTCAGGTACCCCTTAAGAATTGTGACAAGTGGGTTTTTAAAATTTATTTATTAATTGCTCCAAAGATGATTGAGATATTACGATTTAAATTAGTCCGCCTTTATTTTTCAAGACTCCGGGTGTAAAATTAAATCTAAAGAGTCAAAGTTTCAAAGTTTTTGGAGTTTTTTGGTGAGTACTCCCCCCCCCCCCCCCCCCCCCCCCTCCCCCCGTGACTCATTCTTTGTTTTTATGCATTTCATCTTTCACATCGTGTTGGTCTGTTCCTTACTTTCTCACAGCAAGTATGTCAACAATAGCACCTTTTGGAACAGAGAGTTTTCAGGCTGCGAGCATGCAATATACAGATCAAAGACTGAAGACTTGGTGTACATTTATATGAGCATGCAATATACAGATCAAAGACTGAAGACTTGGTGTACATTTATATGAGCATGCAATATACAGATCAAAGACTGAAGACTTGGTGTACATTTATATTAGCATGCAATATACAGATCAAAGACTGAAGACTTGGTGTAGATTATATGAGCATGCAATATACAGATCAAAGACTGAAGACTTGGTGTAGATTATATGAGCATGCAATATACAGATCAAAGACTGAAGACTTGGTGTACATTTATATGAGCATGCAGTTGCAGAACAAGGAAGAAGATGTATCTGAATAATGAGGGAAAACAAGACAAAGCAATAATGCAAAATCAGGCCTCTTGTTGTACCAACTTCTAGGAGGTAATGTAAGTTATATCTAGCACACTTGAGTAGAACAATCTGAAAGTCAGTCTTTGGGTTGTATAGAAATTACATGCAGAAAAGAGTTTTTTTTAACAAAACGAATCATTGAATATTTTAATTTTAATTTTAATAACAAAATAAGTAGGCCAACTGTCCAATATTCTCTTGACTATACCTTGAATATTTTTGTCCTCTATATTATTATGTGTGACTCTCTTCTACAGACTTTCTCACAAAGCCACATAGAGATCTTTGCAACTGAGAACAACACACTGAGGTCTGGCAATGGGCGCCGCCATGATGTCTGGTTATATACTTTTGGCAACAACTGTGTTCCTGTCCTCCAGAGCTCTAGTTCTCACAACAACGACCGACGAAGTGGCAGTTGGGAGAACGACCAACGTTTCCCTCGAATGTACCGACAATTATCCCCTACCGGACATTTCAGAGGTCATCCTGGTGAGAATACGGAAAAAAGACCTTTCTGGGTGGACCACAATTGCGGAACTTCGAGACGACTTAACCAAAGTATCACCAGAACGTAACGACCTGCTTGCTGAGGGCAAGATCTCCAAAAGTTTTCTGCGACTAACGTGGCCTGTGGCGACTAACGATACCGTTGGCTGGTATCGATGTGACACCGTCAGCCTGACTGCCCAGGCGGGGGTGAGCTGGCAGAAGAGCCTGCCGACTTCCATCTCCCGGAAGAGGGAGGTCACTCTGCAAATGTTGAGTCAGATGGTGGAAGAGAACAAGGAGGAGTACCTCCAGCGACTGCGCTCTCAGAGACAGAGCATCATGGAGGACGTCACAGCCACTGCCGCCTACAACAAGAGGGACTGGCTGCAGCACACAGGACACATTCTCCACAACGTGTCTGCCAAGCTGGAAGCTCTCGAGGCAAGAGTTCAGAGCCAGTGGGAGAGCCAGCTACAGGTGAGCTTCTTTTTATAGTTTTTCTTTTGTGTCGTTTGTTTGTCCTTTACGTTTTAAGGCACCTGGGCGCTCATATGACCTTATGCAGTTGCGAGCGCCGTAAAACCTCTACTAAATAAAATAAGACACTTGCGACACAAATAGGTCTTACTATTCTAAGTGCTGAAGATTCGAGGAGATACTAGACAGAGACTTGAGCGACATACAAAGAAACGAAGAAGGAGAGATAAGAACGACAGAAAAGAAGGAGCGAACCAAAAGCAGAGCACGCGTCAACCACTCCCGGAATCTCTCTATGAGTATTGCGCCTTACTATTGAGGACAGATGGTTTGGGAGGTCGGGCTTTCCTAGTCCTCTCTCGTGGCGAGGAAACATTTACCCAGGAAGAACTTTTCCAAAAAGAGCGCGCAGCAAAACATTCCATGTCGGAGGAGGAGGAGAAGGAAGAGGAGAAAGAAGAGGAGGAGGATGAGGAGGAGGACGAGGACGAGGAGGAGGACGAGGAGGAGGGGGAGGAGGAAGAGGAGGAAGAAATGGGGGGGGGGCGGAGGAGCAAAAAGAGGAAGAGGATGACGATGACGATAAGAATGGGGGAGGAGGAGAAGGAAGAGGAGGGAGAGACGATGGGTAGGGGAGAAGCAAGGGGTGATGCTTTCTCACAAACCATATTTCATTCTTTAACTCCTGAGGGGCGGGGAGGGAGGGAGGTGGATGAGAGATCACGTATTATTATTGCTACCAGCCCAAACACCACAACATGTCATTTCCAATTTACAGAAATAGCAGTGTGGCAGAACATTCCAAGGATGACGAAGAAAACAGACGGTCTCTTTTTTTTCTTTAATGTGGGTGTTTTCATGTACCTCGTCGACACAATTTAGAACTTTTAGGAGGCGGGCTTCCACCCATGACTGTCAGGGCCAGCCCGAGCTGAGAGGGATACAGCATCCCAACGGGAAAGCCGAGATACTCGATGAAATTTTATCTCTCAACTTGAGAATCGAACTTGGGCCTCCTGCGTGCGACAGGGAAGTACCTAGCCGCCGCACCACAAACTCTAGTAGATGAAATCTATATCTGCAGCTAAATTGGGCTGTACCGACTGATAATTTTTGCAACCAGCACTGTTGTGACCTTTCTAAATTTGCATCCCAAGAGAGTGAAATGTGAGAAGGTAAAAAACATAATTATTAATAAAATTTT